CGGCGATGCGCCGTCGAATGGCGCTTCCCGATTCCCCAACCCCCCTCCCCTCTGGCCGCCACGTGGCGCCAAAGCCGCGCAGACGCGCGGACGCGTCCGCGGGCTGCTCGGCCTGGCCGCGGCCGCGGACTTGGCTGCGATTGTCCGCCGCCTAGGGGGATTCATAGCTTTTCGCGCAGATATAGTGATTTCAATTTTTGAATTAGCGTAGGACTGGGAAAAACTGCAACTGTTTCGATGCCCATTCTTCTTTTGCTGTTCGGCACCATGCAAACGAGCTCCCTCCTCCTTCCTTCTCGCACTCCTCCCAGTGCCTTCCCTCGCACGCACATGCTTTCTCGCTCCCTCCCCTGTAACTGTTTTTCTCTCTCCTTCCCCGCGCGCGCCCTTTTTCTCTTTCTTGATCATCTGAATCTTGGACCCGTTTCGCGCTATCCTTCGCACTCTTCTTCTTCCCGCTCTAAAACTCGCCCTTGAAAACCCGGTCGATCCTCTCTTCCCATCTAGCCAAGAAGAAGCGTCGTGTAAGAGGAGGTTCCTACTGCGCGACGATTCTGATTGGCTGAGATCGGATTGTGAGGGACCAACATGGCTTTCAACGGGCGATTACCCTCACACCCTCCCTTACCCTCCTCTACCCTACTCTTCATCTTTCCCCGCATCTCTCTCTCCCTTCTCGCAACTATAAATTCCGCTGGCGCATCCGCAAAACTCTCTCTGAACTCGTCAGCCAGCTTTCGGGAAGCAGTGGCTAGATGATGTGTGTGTGGTGCGAGTCGAAAAGTCCCGACGGGCTGACTGTAGACTGGCTGGTTGTGCGCCTCATCGCCACGACGGACTGTGGGATCGGGGCAAGCCCGGGCAGAAACTAAGTTGGTGGGGTGACAATCGCAATGGTGACATGTGGCGCGCGACGACCGGGATCGTCGGCGCATGCATGAAGGTAGTGACCAGAGTTGAGTGGATGGATGACTCAGGGCCATGACGGATCTTTACGGCGGATGCGCCTCCTTATTTCGAGTCTATTCTTTGGTGTGAGTGTACCTTCATGACAGTTAAGTCGAGAATTCTCCTATCTCTGGGTTTTTGTATGCTTGACATTTATTGTATCCATTTCACATTTCCTCTCCTTACTTATGACTATGTATGTTTGTCATGGAATGGTTGCTTAATGGGCCGGCGTTTTGATTAGCCAAGGGATGACGGGGCAGGGGTGCAGAGCATGCGGGAAACCGAGTAATGTATGACTGCCATTTTCGCACCTTCCGCGATGAGTCATCCCGAATGAAGATTGTCGTTGATGAACTGGTCTTTGATTAGGCTGAAGAGTTGTTGCAATCGGATGCGTGAGAATGATTGAATTGTTGGCAAGGACAATGTTGTTGGGATTTTGTTCGAGAATGCAAGAGTGTTTAAACCTGTCGATAATGTGATTCGAAATGCCTTGCGCACAACCTGATAGGCGATCCGCCTTTCCAGAGAGAAGAAGGGCGACACGTATGCGCGGAACACCGACCGTGTCCCACCTGATGTGTGTCCTTTCCCTACGATTTCTGTATGAAAATTGCTTGGCGAAACCATAGACCATTGCAAACTCTCTCCCTCTCTCTCTCTCTCTCTCTCTCTCTCTCTCTCTCTCTCTCTCTCTCTCTCTCTCCCTCTCTCGTCCTGAGACCCGAAGGAATGCTCCCACTTTGCTTCGCATGTTTTGGATAAATAAAGGCGGTAATCGAAAAAGCCCGATCGATAAACGGGGGATTGACTGATACCGACTCTTGCGATTGAGTGGATTGCCATGTGGACTAAAGGCCTCACTCCGACTGGGCGCTGACCTCCCGTACTCCCGCCACGTCCCTTTCCGTATAACGAGAAAAGGACACGTGTATGCGAGTGGGACGTACGAGAAGCCGTCGCCAAGATCGGCGACCGATATCATTTCCCTCCCGAAACTCGATGCTTAGGATTTGTAGGAGCGGGCTTTGTCATGCTAAGGATTTGTCGGAGCGGGCTTTGTCATCATTGATACGCATTTTCCGTCTTATTCGCCGCTGTTACCATTCAACGAATTGATTGTCATTCCGTGGACGGTAGTGGCGCCCCATTAGCCTAACACTCTGTGCGGCGACTGTTGTCGCCTCGAGCGTTATCAATCAAAAGGCTTCTACTACCGTGTACGGAGTGAGAGCGAACACAAGGAACGAGCTACGCGATTGAGACCGTCCACGTCAGACTTTGAGTTGTGCAATGAGCAACGTCGGGACTTGATCCGAAAACGGGACACCAAATGTGTACCCGCCCACTTTTTCGCGAAGCGAAGGGCAACGGCCCGCAAGGAAGTTCAACAATACTTTTTGGATTGAATTTCCCTGCACCGAATGCCCCGCGCGCCCCTTTCTCTCCCTTGACATCCGCACGGTGACGGACCCTCCCCTCTTACCAAGTCGGACCAGCACGGGGGACTTCGGTTCTGTCCGTGTCCCCACACTCAATTTTTCCATCTCGCTATCTTTCCGGGGCCCCCTTCTGCAAATTAAACACTCCGAATGGAAGATAGCGCATGGTGTGAGGTTGCGCGTCACACGGCAACCCCCGCACCCCCACGCCTAACCCCTTTTTTTTTTTTTTTTCCGGGTCGACCCCCGCCCCCSCGCCGACCCCCAGGCCCACCCCCGCCCCCGTGCCGAAACCCGGACCCATCCCGTTTTGTGGTGGAGGATACGTATCCACCTATGGAAGACTGTCCCAAAATTCATCCTTTCCATACATTTATCCAGAAAAAGCCAGTCCACGTGGTCATAGGCCTTCTCGAAATCGATGAAAATAAGAGCAGCATTTGGGGCAGCGTTTGATTTGATTGACAGGACAGTTGCAGCACCTCGTTGACTAGCAAGATGTTTTCCTGGATTTGCCTGTGATGCATGAAACCTGTCTGCGATAGGTGGATCACTTCCTCTAAGACTGGGATCATCCTATTAGCCAGGGCTTTAGACAACATTTTATAGGTGACAGACAAAAGGGTAATGGGTCTGTAGTTTCACATATTGAACTTGTCCCATTTTTTGTATAGTAGGGACAACACTCCTTGACCGACTAACTCCCCCATATCCCCTGTGCGCCAGACTTCCTCGTAATATCCCATGAGGTCAGGGCTCATGCACTCACATGACTCCCAAAATCCCTTCGGTAAGCCATCCAGCCCAGGAGTTTTGTCCTCGTCCATCTGTAGTGGGGCTGTCCATATTTCCTCCTTGGTCACGGGAGCCTCGAGCTGCTCCTTTTGTTCGGGGGAGAGGGATCTGTCAATAGGTTGCAGAAACTCCTCTATCTGTTTTCGGCGGGTCGCTTCGTCGATGGGAGGGATATGGGTTGCAAAAAGGTCCTTAAAAAAGTCCCGAGCAATTTTAACGCAGTCTGCCGTTGTAGTGATAGGGTGGGTACCGGACCCCTCAGGACCATATAGTGCTTCCACAACGGTGCGTTTCGCTCTGGCCCTAGCAAGGCCAAAAAATTTTGTGTCCATAAATCCTTCAGTTTTGTATTGTGAAAGTTTGCCGCGAATTCTAACACCTTGCCGTTGATCTTGAGCTTGTTGAAGCAAACAGGCTTTCACTTCTTGGATGGACTGCACGTGGTGATCTGGGTTGTGTGGTATTGGCTGTTGTTCTAGCTCTAGGAGTTCGGTTTAGCAGATTTATTTCGTGTCAATTTCGTTGTTGGGCTAGATGCTTAGAGAACTCGTTGCATTTCTTGGCTAGGAAAAACAAACCATTGTTGAACTGTGTCAGGGGGGAGCTTATTTCTGGGTAACGTTCCTTCCAGTATGCCCAAACACTGTTACCCAACTTACCGGGGTAATAGTGGGTATTTACTATTTTCAGACTCTCCAAGCACTGGACAGGGAACCCCTTTTGTGAGGAGGACAGGAAAAAGCGATTCGGAAAAGAGAGGGGAACCAAAGCAGCATTCAAGCAGGCTCCCCACTTGGCAAGCCCTAGGAGGATCCTCTAGAAACCACACAGCACTTCCTGGGCCCAGGTCCCCCTAGCAAAACGGATTGGATTAAGCACCGGAATGTGGATGCGTTGTACACAGATAGAAAAGCACATCAATCACGATTTTCGGCACTTGTGGATTCGTTGCATGCAGAGATGCAGAAGCACATCAATCACAATTTTCTGCGTTTGTCCACAAACACATCCACGTTCAGGCGTTAAATCAAAAATACTCTTTGTTACTTGGACCTCACTCCTGATGACACATATCCTGCTCCAACTGAAACGCAATCTCACTACAACTTTCTTCAAACATATTGGGAACTACTGACATGATGAGCCATGGAGAGAACTCAGAGACGGAGAAGAATCTTAGATTCACAGACCGACAAGGAGACGAGCATGATCCCACGGCCTCGACAGGGAGAAAGACGGGGAGGCAATACAAGTTAATACAACGCAACAGACGATTGGATCTTGACGGTCGGACAGACAGTTGGAGGCGAACAGGGAGGGAGGGAGGGAGGCCCTGTCAGGGAAAGATGGAGGTACGATCAAGGTGAGAGGGAGAGAGACATGGAGAGGGAGAGAGGGGGAGAGATGGAGAGAGGGATAGAGGGAGAAAAATCAGGGTGAGAGGGACAGACATGGAGAGGGAGAGAGGGAGAGAGACAGGAAGAGAGGGGGAGAGAGCAGTTGAGGGAGGAAGTGAGAGGGAGACAGGGAGAAAAATCAGGGTGAGAGGGAGAGAGACAGGGACAGAGGGAGAGAGGGAGAAAGGGAGAAAAATCAGGGTGAGAGGTAGAGAGAAATGGAGAGGGAGAGATTGAGCGAGACTGGGAGTCTGCGGGAGAGAGGGGGAGATACTCCGAGTGAGGGAAAGACTCCAAGAGAGAGAGAGGGAGAGACTTCAAAAGAGAGAGAGGGAGAGAGACAGGGAGCAGAGGGAGAGGGGTAGACGACTGCCCAGAGATGATGAAGAACACATAGTGAACAAGTAAGCTGCAAAATTGCTTTCCTGATTGATTGCCAGAATTCAAATGATTTTTCCTTGCTCAGGATAATGGTACAACACTCACATCCTGATAAAAGGGCCAAGGCTGAGCTTCGTGGGAGGTTGAGGCAAAGCCACCTCCCTTCACCGAACATGTACATTGCTTCTTCTTCTTATTGCAAACTATACACATCATTACGGCTACGAGACCGTCACAAGTTTGGCTACGAGAACGTCACAAATTCGGCTACAAGAACGTCACAAGTTCAGCTACAAAAATCACAAAGACTCAATTCTTTTAGAAACTCCGTTGCATCCCCATTTGCCACACATCGAGTCGGACTTGTTCTGCAACGAATCTGCATCGACAAGACGGCTCGAGGAAAGACGGCGGGAAAGGGCTGCAGGATCAGAGATCAGGACTCTGACGGAGACGGACCTGAAACGAACGGAGGAGAACGAGCTGAGGACCCAACACATCTCCCAGCCTCCCAGGTCCAACTGTCCCAGGAACGAGGCTGCCAGACGGTTTGCCTCTCGAGTCTTGAGGCTGGAAATCGAACTCCAGCCAAAAGCCAAAAGCAGAAAGAAAGAAAGAAGCAAATTTTTGGAGCAAAAGAAGACTTAGTGCAGATTCTGCTGCAGAAGAACTGCATGACGAGGCCACACTGTGGGGCACAAGTGGTGAAGAGAGTGCACCAGGCCATGGCACACTGCACCTCAAGATTTCCTTCAAGTTCCCCTTTCTAAGTACCAGCTTTTGCTGCTGCTTGATCTTTCGGCGGTGACGTCGTTTCCAGCTGTGGCTGCCCAAGCGTCTATCAATGAAGTCGCAAGTTCGGACTGAAACAGTAACTGAAAGCGGAGGAGACGAGAAGGCCAGAGGCAGAGACCGACTGTTGCAGCTGACAAGACCTGCGCAGCTGTGCTCTGAAGAAACTGGTGGCCTGTGTATAGTCTCCCAGCCATATAGTCAAAAGCATAAAGCTGCCAAACAATTTAACCCCCCCCCCCCCCCCCTCTCTCCCCCCTCCGGCACACACATTTCCACCGACTCACCGCAAATGCATACGCACCCTACGCTACTTACGCGAGTCTCGAGATCCTCTTTTCAGCAATAAAAGGATCCTTTGACACGACACACCGCCCCGACAAGCAAACAATAGAAGTAACAAACACGGTTACACGGAACAGCGAGTCATGATGTGTGACGCGTCTTGGCCTTGCGGTTTCCAGACGGGCACCGTACCAGCGGCCAAAACGGAGCAGACAGCTGCCCTTTCCTGGCGGTTCTTTGGAGATAAGCCCGCCCCCCCCCTCACCCCGACCACCCCGCGGGCAGGAGCTGATATATGAACCCAAGTCCTCAACTCTAGAAAACTCCTTTCACACGAACAGAAACTATCAACTAGACCAAGAGCAGAATTCGGACAAAAAACTCCTTTCGAGGATTTTCAAAGTCTTCAAAGACACGGAGGAAGGAAGCAAGCTGACTGGCAAGACCACCTCACCAACAAGGAGGAAGAATACCATCATCAACTTGAAGGACGAGAACAAAGAAGTGAAACATACACCAACGACAGTCTATCATCCTCTCTTTCCACCCCAAACCCCCAACAACAAAACTGTGGGGGTGATATGCGATTTGCAACACTGAGTGGGTGCTCCTCTTGACACATCACCTACGTTTTCGGCACATCTACAAAACTCTGTTTCTCCTAACGTCTCTCCTCTCTCCTCTCTCATAGCTGTCTGGGACTCTAAAACCACATGTGGTTTGCTGGCTGCATTGCAGTCCAATTCCTTCAGTTCACCACTGTGACATTTCCATTTCGTCCTGCAGAAGCTATCACACCATTCTCCGCAGGACAATGACTGTGGTCACTGTGCCTCTATTTCTCTAAACACCTCCCTCCCCATTTGCACCACCGCCTCTCTCTCTCTCTCTCTCTCTCTCTCTCTCTCTCTCTCTCTCTCTCTCTATCTATCTATCTATCTATCTATCTATCTATCTATCTACCTATCCATCTATCTCTCTCTCACACACACACACACACACACACACACACACACACACACACACACCTCCAAAAGAGTCCAAATAACTCTCAACTACAAAATTGAGTAACAAAATGCCGAAAACTTCCAAGGAATGACAATTGCCATTCATGGGTCTAATGGAGTTGAATTGAAAAATGGCGGCCCTGGCGGGGCCCCTCCCATGACTGCCCCCAGTTGAGCTTGCAAACCTTTCCCACTCGTCTACCAAAAACTGCCCCACCTCGGGACTCGCGACCTTTCCCCGCTTATAGTCCCCCCTGCCCACCCGTTTCTCCCACCCCCCTCTGTCTCACTCTCACACAAACACACACACATACACAAACACATACCCAACACAACTGCGGCAAAAAATTGCACACACACTCATGCACATCCTGCCTTGGCAGTTTTGAGAACCATCATCCACATCAGACAGCAGACAGTCCCTACTCCGTCAGCCCCCAATGTGGATCATGGGCCGATTTTGCGTGCGGGCAATCTCAAACATGCCGGCGTGGGAAGCCTTCTTCCTTTTAACCGCGCACCCAATGATGTGCCTAATGCCCTCATCAGGAATGGACGAGCGAACGGCGTCCCGCAAACTAACCTCTGCGGGCCCAAACAAGCAGACCTTGAGGTTGCCATCTGCCATGAGGCGCACCCGATTGCAGCCACTGCAGAAGTTGTCAGTCATTGAGGTGATGAACGAGACGCTGCCTTTGAAGCCCTCGACCTGAAAGTTCTTGGCCGTGTCGGACGAATTGTCTCGGAGTCTGTAGAGGTTCGGGTAGTGACACCGGACGATGGAAATCATTTCCGCATAGGAAACCATTTTCTTGGAATTCCAGACGTTCCCATCGAAGGGCATGAACTCTATGAAGCGCACATTTATCGGCCTCTCTCGGGTTAGTTCTACGAAGTCCAAAATTTCGTCGTCATTGAATCCGCGCATTACCACACAGTTTATTTTCACGGGATCATAGCCCAGCTCCAATGCCGTCTCAATAGATCGGAGAACTTTACAGAGTCCTTTCCGCCTAGTCAGCACCTCAAACTTTTCATCAACCATAGTGTCCAGACTTATGTTGAGCTGGCTGAGCCCAGCAACCTGCAGACCTTCCAGACGCCGCGACAAGGCCACCCCATTCGTGGTCATGGCAAGGGTCTTCAACCCATCCAGCCCTGTAAGCTGTGCACAAATTTCCTCCAGGTCCTTCCGAATGGTGGGTTCGCCGCCAGTTAAGCGGATCTTATTCACACCAGCATCGACGAAGATGCTCGCCAACCGGACTATCTCTTCCGTGGTTAATAACTCGGGGCTCGGCGTAAGTTCCACTCCCTCCTCAGGCATGCAGTACTTACACCGAAGGTTGCATTTCTCAGTCAAGGAAATGCGAAGGTATGTGTGTTTGCGACCGTACGAGTCGACGAGAATGGAGGAAACATCGCCTTCAACAATATCGTGGACTTCCTCGAGAGCCAGTGCAGCAGCGGATGCTGTAGAGGCAGGCATGAGACCGGTGCTGCTCACCCTTGCTTGCTGCAAGAATTCTGCAGGGCTGGAGTTAGAGGCGGGGGAGGAGCAAGGAGGGGGAGGGGAGGGGGTGGCAATGAAAGGACTGCCATTCACTGCTGACGTCGGGGGGCTGCAGGGACCAGCACTACAAGGAGGAGGAGGTTGCACGATCATGTGGGGAGGAGAGGGGAAGGAAGGAAACACTCTCCGCACAAACGGACCCAACGAGGGCATGGCATGAGCTCGGGCCATTTCCTGTAGCCGACGCTCTCTCTCCGCATCAAAAATATGATGGTGATGATAGAGCATATTCACGCCATCCTGCGAAGCTGCAACAGAAGTTGACGCAGACAGATGACTGCTGACTCTGTGCTGAAGAAATTCAGAAGGAGAAGAAGAAGGCGATGACGATGGCGAAGGAGGAGAAGGACTCGCAGAGGAACACGGTGCGCTGGCCATATGCTGCCCTGGCGCCGGCGGAAAGATGCGCAGAAGGAACGAACCTTGTCCACATGTTCCTTGTGCCCTCGCCATCTCTTGAAGCCGTCTTTCGCGCTCTGCATCGAACCGCTGTGTGGCACCCTCTGTGCTTCCCGAAGGATCCCTGAGAGGAGGAGAAGACGCCAACGAGCAGCTTCGCACCATTCCATAACAAGGCCGGCTACCCATGTTCCCCGTCCTGCCACCCGAGCCAACACCTGCTCCCCATCCATACCCCAGTAATAGCGGTCCACCAGCAGGAGCAGGAGGACGGCTGCGCGCCATCCACGCAGCTGCTGCAGCACATTTAAACAGAGCACCAAACCTCCCCTCCATCTCTTCCCAACAAACGCCCCAAATTATCAAAGGCAACAACAACGAGATAGACTCAGATAGTGTCGCAAAGCAGCGACAATAGTCAAACGCTGCAACGTTGTCCCCTTACGTGTCCGGGAGTGCGTGGGTGGAAGGGTGTGTGGGTGGAAGTCAGTGTGCTTGCTTTGTATCCACTAAATACTAGTCCAGAAAAGAAGTGTGTAACTCTGTGTGCGTGTGTGTGTGGGGGGGGGGGGGGGGGGGGGGAGGGGGAGTCTGAGAGTGAGACAGTGAGAGCAGACAGAAAGGGAGGGGGTGTAAACAACGTTCTGTACTGATAAGAGGAGCCGTTAGATCAGCAAGTCTGTGGTTGTGATGACCAAAATGAGAGTAAAAGCGAGACTCAGAGTAAGGGTCAGTGTCGACCCCTATTGAACAGATTATTGGATGCGAGAAGGGGATCCGGAGGCAGCTGCTGCAAAGCAGAGGGGACTCAGGGAAGCAAGGACCGAATCACAACATGATCCCTTGCTGACAGACTCGACCTACCTTTTGCAGGAAAATCTCTATATGCGTGTTCCAACCAAACCAAACCTACCTGATTTTCACTTTCCAAGAAGAGATTCGATTTACTGCAAACGATGCAGGTTCTCTTCCGCCTCCTCCCCCTTCATCACACACCCTCCTGTGCACCATCTTCACGAGCTTCTAGCTGCCTTGGCAATGGATGATCAGCAACTAACTTCCTGCTCAGACGGCGGCTTTGCCTCCCCCTGTCGCCTCTGGGCTTTCCAGGCGAGCCTACCTGTTTACCTTCCAGCTGGAAGCTGTTTCGCAGGAGATTTGACACAGAGAGAGAGAGAGAGAGAGAGAGAGAGAGAGAGAGAGATGGACAGAATTGAAGATCCTGAACTCCCCCCCTTGCGCAAACTGATGCCCGACTTCGAACGGCGAGGCAGTAGCACACCCTCGTTCATCCGAGTGGTAGTGGCCTTCGTCCGCCAAACATACTACTGCAAGCAAAGGCCTGTGTGATGTGACATTGTGGCTGATGAGCGTGCAATATCTTCCGATGCAAGAGTGAACAGAAAGGAGCAGATTTCTGCAGCAGCAGACATGGAGGCCTCAACACTCGTGCCAGGACAGTGTCGACCTGGCGCAGGACGACTTCCCCTCCATTGCGCCATGACCACTTTTGCCGCCCAGCAGTCTTCTTGCTCCTCCTTGATTTTCTGAAGCCAGACCAAGTGCCTTCTCATGCGACGTGCTCTCTTACATAACACACCGGTGTGCCACTACCAATCATTCAACCTGTCTGATGACCCATTACCAGATTGCCTTTTTTGTGATTCCCCAACCAGAGGAAGAACATGCACTTCATAGGAAAACTTAACTGTCAGATGCCCCCTCCTTTCCCCCCTCCCCTCTCTCCCCAATTTCCACCTCCCCAGTGGAAGAACGTGAAAACGTAACTGCAAAAAATCCAAGTGTCAGCTGGTCCCTGGCCACATGAATGTCACAGCAAAAAAACTACATGCGCTCCCCGGTCTTTCCCCGAGTACCGAGCTCCACAGTGGAAGAGGATGAAGTTCAAGCGGGGGAAAAAGAAAAAGCACCCCAACAACAACTGTCCAGGGCGCCCCCACCTCTCCCCCCCGCTCCCTCCCTGATTCCCAGCTCAGAAACTGCTTTCCTGGCGGTTGCTGCCGCCTCAGCCTGCCTGTCCTCTTTCACAAGAGAGGCACGGTGCTCCTCTCATCAACCGCAGGGATCGAACAGCCTGGATCCACAAAAAGTCAAGTCAAGCAGCAAGGGGCGAATTTCACAACAAGTCAAGAAGAGCAAACCATGACAGGTGTTACAGTGTTTTCTACTTTGGGGGGGGTGGGGGGGGGAGGGGAGGGGGCATCATGCGGTGTGATTTATTAGACCTCTGAGTTAAATGCAGAATGACAAAAGAGAAATAGGGCACTCGAAATGCAATTTATGAGGCCTCTGAGTCAAATGCAGAATGACAAAAAAAAAAAAAAAAAAAAAAAAGACATTCGAAATGTGTTGTCGGTAAGATGACAGCCAGGTGCCGTCCCTGCACCTAGGGCCTTATGCTCAGGGCAGGGGCACTTCGAGTGAGAGCTGAATAAAATTTGGGGGGGGGGGGGAAGGCAAAATCCCTTTTGCAGCAAGGCCTGCTTTTTGTCATTTGTCTGTCATTTCCCCAAATACAAATACGTAATCATCATTTTTTGGCCGGGGACAACCGCTGCTAGTGGGCGTGGCTCCACTACAGTCTTCCCCCGCACACAATGAACCGTGATATTGAATGTATACAAGCCATCTTTCCAGTCCGTTGCAGCCAAAATGAGGGTGCGTTGTGTTCAGGGGAGGACGGTAGATACCTGGGAATTATCGTGTTGGATCAGGAGGAATGTATGTGGCTGACGATGCTGTACAGATTCATGTCGGATGTTGAGTAGTGGAGCGAGGGCCCAGTGGCTCCAGACAGTTAATGGATGACCACAGAGGACACAGGACGGGCACTGGACTGGTGGGCTTCATTCTCCGAAAAAAAAAAAAAAAAAGCCAGGTAAGGGCCATCATGCCATTTTCTATTTATTTATTTATTTTAGTCATGCAAAAAAAAAAAAAAAAAGCCAGGTAAGGGCCATCATGCCATTTTCTATTTATTTATTTATTTATTTTAGTCATGCAAATTTACAACGGCAGTTGCAAAACAGTAAAAAAACAACGAAGGTAATTTAATCTTAAGCGGAAAAAGAACAGGTGGTGCTCATTCTCCCAAAAAAAGGCAGGTAGCCTGAGAGATGGCTACCACATCCAAGGCAGCCAGCCGGGGTATAAATGAAATTACCCAACCCTGACATAGGGAGGTAGAAAAAACAATATATAACAATACTGGGCTTTTTCGAGTCTGGAAAAGGTTTAAAAAAAAAAAACGCCGGGTCATCATGCCAATTTCCAATGGGGGTTGCAAAAGCATAAACAAACAACAAAGAGAATTATTATTAATCAACGGAAAAGATTCAAAGAAACAAAAAAAAAACAAAAAAAACAAAAAAAAGCGACAAAAGTTCAAAACCTCCAACACACACACAAACACACACACACACAAACACACACACACACACACACACACAGAGGTTGACTGGGCTAGCTCTGTTGGGAGGCTCATGAGTTGGTGAGGCTCCCAGTCATGTAGTTTTTTTTTTTGTTTTTTTGTTTTGTTTTTTTGAGTAGGAGTGTTTTTCTTAATTTTTTGGTTGCATCCCTTCGTTGTTAGTCCAGTTCCTCTGTTTTTTTTTTTTTTTTTTTTTTTTTTTTTTTTTCCGAGTTTGTTTTGACATTGCGACGCTGCAGCCGGTTTCCAGATTTGTGCCTAATCAGGGGGCATGGGCCCAGCATTCAGGAAGGGGGGGGGATTCCCCACCTCCTTGATTTCTTTTTTCCTTTGTCTTTGGCCTCCTTGATTTGAGATTAATACAAAGCAAAACTGAAAAAAAAAAAAAAAAAAACATACAAAGGAGGGGCGTGCAGGGGAGGGAGGGAGGGAGGGGGGGGGGGGGGGGGGGGGGGTTTGTAAGGAGAACAGAAAACGAACAGAAAAGAGGATTCTCGAAAAGCAGCCAGCTAAGCCGGGCCTGTTTTCCAGCTATATGTATATGAAAATGAGATTTTGTTAAAAAAAAAGACAAAGAAAAAAAGGCAGCCAGCTAATGACCATCATGCTAGCTCACAAGGAGCGATTTTTCAGTTGAGTTTTTTCCTCTTTTCTTGTTTTTTTCTACGATTGAGGTTTTCTTTGTTCCAGGTCCGGGGCGCGACGAGGACTGAATCTGAATGAGTTTTATGCAGAGATGCAGAAATACACATCAATCGCGATTTCCTGCACCTCTTCACAAACACGTCCAGATTCCTTGCCAGTGGGACCGTGCCCCCGCCGTTTGCGTGAGGAGTCCTCTTACGCTACTCTCTCTGGATTTTCTCCCATAATTTGCTTGCCACACAACAATTCTCTCCATAGGAGATAATAAATTTGAATAAACTTGAATAAAAAGATGAAAAGAGAGAAAAAAAAAAAGACCACTATAAACGGCCATGTATCGAGTCACAGAACGCGACATGTCTGTTTATTGAAATAAAATCTGTAAGTGCATGGTTTAGAAAGCTTTTTTTCTTTTTTTYTTCTTYTTTTTTTTTTCTTTTTTTTTTTCCGGGTCATTGATTGTCGCCCTATCTTCATTGCAAAGGGGGCCACAACAGTACAATTCCCCAGCTACTGTTGAAAAAAAAATTGTGCGGAATTGTGCACATAACTAGGTTATCAGCCGGGCCGCCCGGGTCCCGGGTGGTCAGCGCCCGTGCAAGGACCAGGGAAGGTCCTAGCACAAAAAAGAAAAGAAAAAAAAAAAATCCGAAAAAAAAACTATGTTATGCAGAACAATAAACTCAACAACTTTTGCCTCAGGGTCACATCGAAATTCTTCACCAAACTTAGAATAAAAATTAAATTCTAAATTTTTTTCTTTTTTCTTTTTTTGTCGGGCCGGGCAAGTGACCCCAGGCCACTCTGGTAGCCGAGGCACATAATACATATTATCTATCATTAATTTATTACCCTTTTCTTTCTTTCCCCGCTGGCATAATACTTCATTGCTTCCATTTGCTTTCCCACTGGCACAAAAAAAAAACTAAAATACGCCTTAGTTGAGATCTATAAAATGTTCACATACCTTAACTTATAAATAAATGTAAACAAGTTAATCACTAATAAAAATAAATTTGCACGTCATTTGAGATCCGAGCTGGCTGCTGCATCATGGTGATCCGTGCGGACAAGGGACATTTGGAACTTCCCGCTTTCACGCAGACAGGAAGATCCACTGTGCATATTATTTCCAAATCCCCGGGGCCAAGTCCCACTTACCCGGATCCTCCATTCCCGACCGTAGATCATGGAAATCAACGGCCAGAAATGAAGAATCCGGTCAAGTGGGACTTGGCCCCGGAGCAAATGGGCCCTGGCCGCCGGGGGACTGGGGGATCGACCCCTTAAAAACGGAAAACGGAGTACAAACAGAGAAGGGAGGATTTATGGGGGGTGTCATCCTTGACAGCGCAGGGGCCATGCTTTTTTTTTTTTTGGGAGAGGGGGGTCATGCGCTATTCTTTTTTTTTTTTTTTTGGGGGGGGGGAGAGGGGGATCGTGCGCTATTCTTTTTCTTTTTTTTTTTTTTCGGGAGAGGGGGATCATGCGCTATTCTTCGCGGAATCCTTCCTTTTATTTTCTTTTCCAAATGTTCGGATATTAACGGATGCCTCAAAGGACAGGGGCCAAGTCCGAGGTTGAGGAAACTCAACGAGATTTCTGCACATCTCCACAAACACCTCCAGATTCGAGTGGGACTTGGCCCCAATTAGTAATAGCACGAGCCGCGAGGACGAAACAAATGAAATTAAATTTCATAAAACACAAAATAACGTTGGGGCCTCACTCCCGCTGCCTTCTTCCCCCGAATACAGCGTAGTACGGTCACGACAGCTGTATTTCGGGCACAAGTCCTCAAACTGTTCAAATGCAGACCCTACTGCAATTCTGAACTCCGTCCACGTCCAGAGCAGATTACTAAAATACTGCAATTCTCAACTACCAAGGGCCGGTCAGCTCGACAATGCGTCTGTGTGTGTGTGTGTGTGTGTGTGTGTGTGTGTGCTGGCTATTGCTTTCTCCCAAGCTCTGTGTGCCATGGGTTTTCCTTGGATACAACCGGCCAAATGACATGAAATTTCCCCCCTCCCCCAAAAAAAAAGGAAATGACAAAAAAGAATGAAATGACATCGAGTTGTCAAAAAAGACGAAAACGACAAAGAGAGCGAGAGCCAACACAGAGAGAGAGAGAGAGAGAGAGATTTGCGCAGATTCTTGGCGGGAAGAATGAACAGTGTCATTCATTCTCTCAGGGGCATAGTCACACTAGGACTTCATTTACTTTCTTTTTTTTTCCTCTCAGGGGCACACTCACACTAGGGACTTTTTTTACTTCTTTGCTTGTACGTAATTGCATCCAGATACATCCACGTCTGTCTGTAAATGCGGTGAGATACATTTATGACGGCACTAGTGTGAGTACGGCCTCATATCTGTGAGCAATCCGCCGATGTAGAGGCAGCTGGCAATATGAGTACATTTCACCTAAACGCGTCGCTAGCACGACACAACATGATGAGCTCTCATGATCTCGTTTCAAATTTCCAGCGCCGTCGAACTGCCATGAAAGTTTGACCTGCGGCCAGATCCCGCCCGCACGGACTCTTCGTTCCTGACGATCTACCCGCCATCTGCATAATCTACGGCCAAAACTGAAAGTAACTGGGCAAGTGAGACTTGCCCCGCCGCCCGGCGTTCAAGCCCCGCACCCCGCACCCGGCGCATACTACTCTCCCCACTGCCTCTCTTCGCCCCTGGAATGCAGCTGCCATAACCTCTCCGCCTCCCCACTTTCCTATTCAGGTGCCAAC